GTGCGAGAGGATACCGCAACATCCTCTGGGAGGAGGGTCCCAACTACGGGATGGTTTCCCTCTGCTCCCATTGAATGCTCTGTTCCCCTGAGACTTTCATCCTCCTTAAGAGCACTGGGGCTCTCAGACTGGAGGTGGGACAGTACTACAGTGTCCTGGAAAGTCTCATCAACATAGCTCTCTACCTCCCTTAGCTCCTCTAGTTCAGCCACCCTGGCCTCCAAAGCCCGAACTCGGTCTCTGAGGGTCAGGAGCTCCTTGCAACAGGTGCACACATACGCCACCCGCCCACAGGGCAGGTAATCATACATGTTACACTCGACACAATAAACAGGATAGCCCCCACTCTGCTGCTGGGCTTCTGTCTCCATTTTTCTAATGAATAAATTTGTGTAAACTGGGATTCTTTTTAAACCTTTTAAAAGAGGTTTTTTTTTTGTTGTTTTTTTTTGTTTTTTTTTCAGAAAAACACTTCAATTACATCCACACGAAAGCCTTTTTCTGAAAGAGCTCTTTCGGAAAAAGGCGTGTGTGGACGGGGAAGAGGGAGTTCTTTTGCAAGAAGAGGAAAAAGCATAGCTGCCCTGTTGGCCGTTCCGACCATAGTAATCACAGCCGACAAGCAAGATAGTGTCCGCACAGAATGGACGCTATCTTTCGAAAAAGCAGATCGCTTTTTCGATGTGCTTTTGCAGTGTGATCTCTTCCAGAAAAGCTTCTTCTGAAAGAAGCCTGTAGTCTAGACATAGCCAGGATGTCAGTGTGAGGATGGGATGGAGTCTGGAATGGCCTTTCCTGAGACAGACAGAGTCACAATTTTCACAACCTCTGGGATCCACTCAAGAGAGATTCTAACTCTCAATTCTCATTAAATAAGCTCATTCAGAGCACTCTTGTTATGACTATAGCTCAGACCCTGGATGGAAAGACGGCAGGGGCAGGTGCTGGGCCTCGGCTGTACCTTCTGAAGCAGCTTCACTGAATTCTGCAGCCTCTTCACAGCTTCCACATGCTCATCTGCACCGTTCCTGGAAAAACCAAGGCAGAGTTTGGGCCGTCAAGGTGCTGGCCAGAGAGTGTGCCGCCACTCTGCCAGACGCTAGAAATGCCCTTTCTAGGGTTACATGCTGTTCCTCTGTGTGAGAAAGAGAAGCAAGGCTCGGAGAAACAGAAGAAAAGAGCATTACTTGAGCAGCGAGGTTAGTGCCTTCTCCGTGCTGTGACTTCGCTCCACGGATTTCAGTACGCGATTTCCTGCCAGGAAGACCAGGTTGGTTTTGTTCTTTTTCCCCTTTTCTGTGCCAAGGATCTTAATAACCTTAAGCAAAAAACAAACACCCTGATCAGAGGCACAATGGTGCATTACACACACACTGCTAGAGTTCCCATGAGACCATTTGTCAACTCTGTCTCCAAAATGAAATCCACTGAAATCAGCCTTCAGATATAGTCAAAAAATAGATGAGCTGAAGTTCATTAGCCATGTGTCAATGCTGTCTAAGATGCCTGGATGAGATACGTCACCCAGCCATCTACACCACAGTGTCCCACCCTACAGTGTACCAAGCATATGAACTATAAGGGAAGGGTCATTTGACTTAGTAAGCTGACTGAAGGACACCGAAACCCAGAGGCAGCTCTGGGATTGTGTTTCATCCAGGGGCAGCCCCTGGATATGGCGCCGCCTTCAACGGTGCCCGATGATGACATCACAGGGCGCCTGATGATGATGTCACCCCATTGACAGCCGTGCAGGCGGGGGTGCTGATTGCGCGTTTCGCCTGGGGCGCCAGCTGCCACAGCCCGCCTTGGGCTGCTCCTGGTTTCATATAATTCTGCATGAGGGTCACTAGGGAATTCTCACTGAAGTGTCTCCAGCACAGGTTTCAAAAACGGATTGGCAGAAAATATGCAAATGAGTCCCTCATTAGCATATTTTCTGCAGCAAAAACTGGCAGTGTAGAGACAGCCTTAGAGACTAACAAAACATGTTGATGGTATCATGAGCTTTTGTGGGCACAACCCACTTCTTCAGATGAATGGAGTTTAAGGGGTCGGTCTAGCTTTAAAATACATAGAACAGAGAGGGGGTGAGGTGCAGGTAAAAGGAGGAAAAAGAAAGGGGAAAAAAAGGGAAAAGAAATTGTCAATTAGAGTGTCCATGCTAAATGAAGCTGAAAAGAATATTTAGTACCCGCTTTAAGAACCCTTTGTTTTTTTATGTCATTAGGATGTGGAATGTAGCGGGTCATCGAGCCAATGTCTTTGTTTAGACTTCTGCTCTGTAGTTTTCCTGCTCAGCTGGCTCTTGAAATTGGTTTGAGATAATATGGTGACTTTGAGATCCATTAATGAGTGCCCAGGCAAGTTACACAGTGTTCCGTGGCCACACCTCTCTCCATGTAGGGGACAGCAGTCTCTGCTAAGTCCTAGGCTGAAGGCATCAAGGGAGCACAAGGTGTGGGGCTTTGTCCCACCACGCTCACTCTGGCTTGCAATTGGGATTCTCTGTCCACCAGGGACAACATGCAGAGGGACCATAAATCCTGCAGATCCAGGGACTCCTACGGTACCAGCTGATCTACAGGCTGATGCCTGAAAACTGAAGGCGCTGAAGCAGGGCACCACCCTTACCTGCAGGTCACTTAAATTGGAGACATGAGTCCCGCAGCACATGTTATCGTCTATGCCCTCAATGCTTATGATACGCACTGGCCCTGTGTGGTCATCTGGCAAGCCACGGCTTCTCACCTAGCAAGAGAACCAGAGAGGCAAGCACAGCAACTCGCACCCCTGGGATTAAAAGGAGACTGAGTGGCAAATTCCCCTTTGCCCCACGTGGCTCTGGAATGAATTTTGTCTGCACTCTCCGTTTCTACTCACTGTCTCAATCTCTGGGTCATCCTCGGAGTGCTCCTTCACTACCACAGGAATATGGGCCCTGATTTTCTCATTCACATTCTTCTCCAGGGCTGCCACCTGTTCTGCTGTCACCGAGGGCGTGTCCAGTTCAATGAGAGTGCGCTGATGGCCTAGTTCCCTGCAAGGCCCCCACACATCAAATATGCCCGCCAATACAAGGAAGAAGACAAGCTCAAAAGTCCCTCCAGGCAGCACTCAGCATGGTGCCCCGCATGCGCTCCCTGTTGCTTACATAGCACCAGCTGTGTGCTTTGTTCCTGAGAGACGGGAACAGAGAGGCAGAGCAATGTTCCACACAGCTTCTCTCCAGCACGGTCACTTTTCCCAAGCCCTCTGCAGCCAAGGGGAATGTCTTTGCACACACCCCCACCTCGCCCGGGCATTAACCTACATTCGTCCCTCAGAACCCAGCGGGGTGGTACAAGCCAAACAAGTTGTAAGGGCTGAGTTAAAAGGAACTGTTTTCCTGCTCACCATGAAGTTGTTTTGAATCCAAACATCTGATCTGCGAGGGCAGTGATGAGGTGCTGCCCTGGAAGAGAAGTGCAAGCCATGGCAGTGAGTTTTTTAGTTTACTTTTACTGTTGATAGCTGCATACACATGCACACCACTTATGTCAAAGCCCAAGAGCAAGCATCCAGAGGACTACCCCCCCAGCCATCCCTGGAAACCTCCAAGGAATGTCGCCTGTTGAGAGTTCAAAGCAAGCAGCTCTGCTCCTCCAAGTCATCTAAAATTACTTATTTATTAACTAGGACAGTGTTTGTAGGGATACCACCCCCCTTCTCAAGAGTTCCAGAAAACCGTTCCCTACTACTGAAGAAAACTGAGTGGCCACTGGTCACACCACCCACAGAAGGAGTCGCGAACATTCAAAACCACTCTGGGCTCCTGGGCGACATGACACTCCTTTAACGAGCAAGTCTTGTCCTATCAGCATGGATAAATGCACGGCTCTGAGCATCCAAACACACCAGCGTGGGACCATATCTTAATGGGCACTAATAATCCTTCCCTTTTTGGCAGGTAGTTTGGTAACTGTACCCTGGGACGAGGTAAAGAGACCCCAACACGGATACCACGCTCCCATGGCCTATGGAAAGGCTCTGGGCACCTTCGCAACCCCACGTCCAACCAGCACTTGGTGCAAGGGGCTAAGCGCCGGCAGGAGCCCGGTTGCCCAGGCGGGTCACCTGAGTGCTGCTGCATGTGGTCAAACCTCCGCTCCCAGTCCACGGTCAGCAGCACCTCACGGCCTGGCTCCAGCGGCGCCTGCACGGAGGGGGGAGGGGCGGGGG